AATCACTGCTCATTTACATCCATTAATATGAATGGTCTCAATTCACCTATAAAAAGACACAGGCTAACATACTGAATATGAAAACAGAATCCATCCTTCTGCTGCATACAAGAAACACACCTCAAACTCAAAGACAGACATTACCTCAGACTAAGGGTTGGGAAAAAGATTTTCCAATCAAATGGGCCTAAGAAACAAGCTGGTGTAGCTGTCATAGTATCTAACAAAATAGACTTCAAACTAAAATCAATCAAAAAAGATCAAGAAGGACATTATATATTCATTACAGGCAAAACCCATCAAAAGGAAATCTTAATTCTGAACATCTATGCCCCAAACACAGGGGCTCCTGCATTTGTAAAAGAAACATTACTAAAGCTTAAATCACAAATCAAGGCCCACACACGAATAGTGGGAGACTTAACCACTCCACTCTCACCACTGGAAAGATCTGCCAGACAGAATCTTAACTGAGAAATAAGAGAACTAACAGAGGTTAAGATTCAAATGGACTTAACAGACATCTATAGAACATTCCATTCAAACACAAAAGAATATATTTTATTTCAGCACCTCATGGAACCTTCTGAAAAATAGACCACATACTTGGTAACAAAGCAAACCTCAACAAATAAAAAAATTGGAAAAACCCCTGTACCCTATCAGATAACCACAGCTTAAAATTAGAATTCAACAGAAACATTAATTTCAAAAAGCCCACAAACACATGGAAACTGAACAATGATGAACTGAACCACCACCAGGTAGAGGAAGAAGTAAAGAAGGAAATAAAATACTTATAAAACTTAATGAAAATGACCCCAAAACATACCCAACCTTATAGGACACAATGAAAGCTGTGCTGAGAAGAAAGTTCATAACACTAAATGCCTACATAAAGAAGCTGGAAAAACCCCACAATAGTGAATTAACAGAACAATGAAAGCTCTGAAACAAAGAAAGCAAAGTCACCCAGAAGGAGTAGACAGCAAGAAATAGCCAAATTGAAATCTATAAAATAGAAACACAGAAAACAATGGAAGAATCAATGAGAAAAAGAGGTGGTTCTTTGAGAAATTCAACAAAGGAGAAAACCTTATTCCAAACAAACCAAGAGACACAAAGAGAATATCCAAATTAACAAAATCAGAAACTAAAAGGGGGACATGACAACAAACACTGAGGAAATCCAGAGAATCATCAGGTTATAGTCCAAAAATCTGAACTCCACAAAATTGGAAAGCTTTAATGAGAAGGACAATTTTCTAGGTAAGTACCACATACCAAAATTAAATCAAGAATAGCTAAACAACTTAAACACACCTATAATCCCTAAAGGAATAGAAACAGTTATCAATAGTTTCCCAACCAAAAAAAAAAGCCCAGGCCCAGAGCAGAATTATACCAGATGTTCCAAGAAGAGCTAATACAAATACTCCTCAAATTATTCCGCACAATAGTAACAGAAGGAAGATTGCCAAACTCTTTTTATGAGCATACGGTTACCCTGATACCCTAATCACACAAAGACACAACTAAAAAAGAGAATTACAGACTAACTTCCCTTATGAACACAGATTCCAAAATACTCAATAAAATAGTGGCAAACTGAATTCTAGAACACATGAGAAAAACTAACTACTATGACCCAGTAGCATTCATCCCAGAGGTGCAGGGATGGTTCAACTAATGAAAATCCATCAATGTGATCCACCTTATAAACAAACTGAAAGAAAAAACTGCATGATCATCTTAGTAGATGCTGTATAAGCTTTCAACAAAATTCAGCACCCCTTTAATAGCCATAGAGAGAATAGGGATACAAGGAACATACTTAAACATAGTAAAGGCAATCGACAGTAACCCAGCAGCCAGCATCAAACTAAATGGAGAGAAACTCAAAGCAATACCACTGAAAACAGGAACACAGCAAGGCTGTCCACTCTCTCCATATCTGCTCCACATTGTACTGGAAATTCTAGCTATAGCAATAAGACAACAAAAGGAGATCAAAGGGATACAAATTGGAGAAGAAAAAGTCACACTCTATTTGCTGATGCTATGATAGTATACATAAGTGAACCCAAAAATTCTACCAGAGAACTTCTACAAATGAAAACCACCTTCAGCAGTGTAGCAGGATACAAGATTAACAAAAAATTCAATAGCCCTCCTATATACTAATGGCAAACAGCCTGAGAAGGAAACCAGAGAAACATCACCCTTTACAGTAGCCACAAATAGCATGAGATATCTTGGGGTAACTCGAACCAGACATGTGAAAGACCTATATGGCAAAGTCTTTAAAGAAAGAAATTTAAGAAGATATCAGAAAATGGAAAGATCTCCCATGATCTTGAATAGGTAGGATCAACATAGTAAAAAATGGCAATCCTACCAAAAGTAATCTATAGATTCAATACAATTCTCATCAAAATCACAGCACAATTCTTCAGAGAACTTGAAAGAACAATTCTCAACTTCATGCGGAAAAACAAAAAACCTAGGATATCCAAAACAGTCCTGAACAATAAAGGATCATCTGGGTACATCACCATACCTGACTTCAAGATCTACTATAGAGCTATAGTAATGAAAACAGCTTGGTATTGGCATAAAAACACACAGATAGACCAATGGAATTGAATCAAAGACCCAGATATCAACCCACACAACTATGAACACCTAATTTTTGACAAAGAAGCTAAAAATATAAAATGGAAAAAGAAAACATATCAACAAATGGTGCTGGTATAATTGGCTGTCAACATGTAGAAGAATGCAAGTAGATCCATATCTATTGCCATGCACAAAAGTCAAGTCCAAATGGATCAAAGACCTCAATATAAATCCATCCACACTGAACCATATAGAAGAGAAAATAGGAAATACATTTGAATGCATAGGCACAGGAGACTACTTCCTAAATAGAATACCAGTAGCACAGACACTGAGAGCAACAATTAATAAGTGGGACCTCCTGAAACTGAGAAGCTTCTGTAAAGCAAAGAACATGGTCAACAAGACAAAAGGGCTCCCTGCAGAATGGGAAAAGATCTTAATCAACACCACATCTGCCAGAGGGCTGATCTCCAAAATATACAAAGAACTCAAGAAACTAGAAATCAAACTACCAAATAATCCAATTGAAAAAAAATAGAGAATTCCCAACAGAAAATCTCAAATGGCAGAAAGACATATAAGGAAATGCTCAACATCCTTAATTATCAGGGAAAGGCAAATCAAAACCACCCTGATATTTCATCTTACACTAATCAGAATGGCTAAAATAAAAAAATAAATGACAGATTATGTTGGAGAGGATACGGATTTAGGGGAAAACCCATGCATTGTTTGTGGGAGTGCAAATTTGTATAGCCACTATGGAAATCAGTGTGGTGGTCCCTAGGAAATGGAATAGATCTACGCTCAAGATCCAGCTATATCACTCTTGGGCGTATACCCAAAGGATGCTCCAACCTACCACAGTGACACTGGCTCAACCATGTTTGTTGCTCCTCTATTCATGATATCCAGAAACCTGAGATACCATCTTACTCCTGTCAGAATGGCTAAAATCAAAATACCAATGACAATTTATGCTGGAGAGGATGTGGAGAGAGGGGAACACTCCTCCACTGCTGGTGGGAGTGCCAACTCATACACCCACTTTGGAAATCAGTATGGAGATTCCTCAGAAAAATGGGAATAAGCCTACCACAAGACCCAGCAACTCCACTCTTAGGCATATATCCAAAAGATTCGCATTCATACAATAAGGACATCTGTTCCACAATGTTCATAGCAGCATTATTTGTAATAGCCAGAACTTGGAAGCAACCTAGATGCCCCTCAACCGAAGAGTGGATAAAGAAAATGTGGTACATTTACACAATGGAGTACTATTCAGCAGAAAAAAACAATGGAATCCTGAGATTTGCAGGCACATGGATGGCACTAGAAGAAACCATCCTGAGTGAGGTAACCCAGTCACAAAAAGAGAAACATGGCATGTATTCTCTCATATATGGATTTTAGACCTATATCTGGGAAGTGCCAGCCTACAGTCTCATGGCCAGAGAGTCTGGGAAACAGAACCTTCATTCAGTGGCTGATGGAAGCAGAGGCAGACTCCCACGGCTAAGCACTGAGCTGAACTCAAGAAATCCAGTGACAGAGAGGGAGGACAGATGATCAAAGGGATTAAGACTGGGCTGGTTTAACCCCCAGAAACAGCTGACCTAACAAGGGTTAGCTCTTGAATCCCAGACTGAGGGCTGGGAATCCAGGATGGGACTGATCAAGACCCCCTGAATGTGGGTGTCAGTGAGGAGGCCTAGGTAATCTATTGAGCCTTGGGTAGTAGATGAGTATTTATCCCGGGTATACAAATGGACTTTGGGTGTCCATCCAACAATGAGAGATGCACTCTCAGCCTGGACTCTTGGGGGAAGGTCTAGCCCCTTCCCTGGATGAAATGACAGACTATGGACACCCCCATGGAGGGCCTCACCCTCTCTGGGGAAATGAGAGGATATTGGGGGTTGGTGGGAGGGCATGGAAGGAGGGGAAGGAAAGAGCGGGGGACCTGAAATTGACATGTGATGCAATCTTGTTTCTAATTTAAATTTTAAAATTAAAATTAAAAAGAAAGAAACCAAAGAAACCAAAAGAGATCTTACCAGAATGCACAGGATGTAAGAAAAAAAAGGACAGACTTTGGTTCAGTGCAGACACTGTGAGGACTTCCTTGGTCTCAGACCTCCCTCAACCACAGACTCAAGCCCTTATTTCTTGGTCTTCATCCCAGCTTAGCTAAGGTTGGTACAGTGTCAGTGTCATTTTATCTAACCAGAAAGTTTCCTTAACTGATAGAGCCAATCAGAGCTGAGGTGCACAGGTTTAAATGCCTGTGAGGGCACTGGTCACTCACCTCCTCCATCCCTTCAATGGCTGTGTCTACTCTGTCCTCCTCCAACCTGATCAGCCTCCCTGAGAAGATGTCACCTGTCCTGATTCTCCTGACCTTTCTTCTGCCAAGTGGAGCTGGTGCAGGTGAGTGAACACCCCGGTCTCAGGGGTGCCATCCCATAATACCTCTGTGGACGCTCTGCTCAGCTCTAGTCAGGAACTGTCCTGCACTGAGCCAGGAGCTTTCTGAACCTCAGGTCCCACACCAACCCCACATATGAGTATCTGTCACTGGTGAGATTCTCAGCAAGGTCTGAGGAAAGGAGGCACCAACAAAGTCATTAGCGGGGTTAGGATATTAACAAGGTAATGACCAAGGCAAGCCATGCAGAACCCCCTTGGTCTCTACCATCATGAAGATAGAGCTTGTCCATCCATGTACTTGTACAAGTGCTACCCACCCCTTCTCAGATCAGGGCTGTGGCTTAAGATTTAACAAAGACTATTCTGTGTGGAAGGAATTCTGTCCACAACAAGATTGTGGAACTGCAGATCCTATCATCTTCATCCTTCCCAAGATCTTCCCTCCTGACCCCATCTGCTGCTCCCAGACACCCCATATTCTAGCCTTGTCTTTCAGAGGAGATCATCGGGGGACATGAGGTTAAGCCCCACTCCCGCCCCTACATGGCATTTATTCAGTTCGTGCGTGATGATGGGAAGAAGGGTCGCTGTGGAGGCTTCCTGGTGCGAGACAACTTCGTGCTGACAGCTGCCCACTGCCTGGGAAGGTGAGGTAAATCAGCAGGCCCAGGTTTCTGAGACCCCAACAAGAGCTCCTGCCCTATACTTGTGGATGCTCCTGTGAGAGTTGGCTAGAAGCCAGGACTGTGAAAATGGGAATCTGAAAACAGGGAAACTATGAGATCAAAGGATGAGAGGCCAGTGCCAGCAGCACAGTTAGTGAAAACACTGACACTGACCAAGCTAAAGCAGTGGTTGAGGTTGAACGCACACAGTAGGAGTCAATGCAAACTTTGGAAAATTGTCTAGAAGCAAGACGGAGCCCCCAGTTGTCTCAAGTCATTGGGAAGCAAAGAAAAACACATCAAACCCGAGACCCTCCTGTCTCCTCAAGTCCCCTCAGCTAGAGCACCACACTACTTGCCCTGCCTTGTACACCTCCAGGATAGTGTCCTCTCTCACTCCACATCTCTCGTCTCCACTCTGACCTCTACAGCTCCATGAAAGTCACTCTGGGAGCCCACAATATCAAGGCACAGGAGGAGACCCAGCAGATCATCCCTGTGGCAAAAGCCATTCCACACCCGGCCTATAATCCCATGGACTACACCAATGACATCATGCTCTTAAAGGTGAGACCTGCCCCCCCCATCCACACATCCCCACCCCTGGTGCCTGTGCTCTGCTTGCTGCAGGGAATGCTCCTCCAATCCTGCTCTCTTCCTGCTTTTCCTCCCTGCCTTCCTGGTTTTCAGAGTGTCCCAGGCCAGCAGGCTCCTGGCTGAGCTGCTCTCTCCTGCCTCTTCCCCATCAGCTAGAGAGGAAGGCCAGGAGGACTAAAGCTGTGAGGCCCCTCAAGCTGCCCAGGGTCAATGCCCAGGTGAAGCCAGGGCATGTGTGCCGCCTGCCTGGCTGGGGGTCAACATCTCTCAATGCCACTAGAGGAACTGCTGTGCTCCAAGAGGCTGTATTGATCACTGAGGAGGACCAGAAATGCAAATTGTACTTCTCCCACTACTCCAGAGCAACACAGATCTGTGCTGGAGACCCGAATAAAATCCAGTCTGCTTTCAAGGTGGGTTCAAGCATTTAACAAACAGAAGGCAGGGATACAGGACCCTAGGAGAGGCCTAGTTATGACAATGGCCAAACCCTCAAGCTTCAGCTCACAGCAGTGACATCCCAAAGCCAGCTCTCAGTTTCTCCATGGGGTAGCAAGAGTGGAAGATGGGAAACATCCGCCATCCCAAAGCAGCATAAATTACCCCAGAGTTTCCCTGAGGACTACAGGGGAAGTGTGGGACTGAGCTAGAAGGAAGAGCCGGGCACCCAGGGAGCTCTGATACTGAGGGAATTTGAAAACCTGTCCCTGCTGTGACCTAACAGTTAACCTTCCCAGGAGGAGGTAGGGAGAGCAGAGCCAGGGGAACCAGGCTCAGTTCTTCTTTCCCTGTCCACAGGGTGACTCTGGGGGACCCCTCGTGTGTGACAACAGAGCTTATGGAGTTGTGTCCTATGGGAAATCCAAGAGGATTGCTCCAGGAATCTTCACTAAAGTCGTGTCTTTCCTGCAATGGATAAAAAGAAGCATGAAGCCCGTCTAGCAAGTGGTAAAACCCAGCTGTGTCTGACCAGCTTGTCTGGACACAGGCAATACCTTCATGGAGCACACAGCAATGGCTGGAAATTCTAATAAACTGATCTCCACAGTGAGTGCAGCTGAAGTCCTGTGTTGTTGGAGTCACTCTCGTGTGCACCTGTCTGGTCCAGGCAGCCTCTCATGTCAGCTCTGTGCATTCCTGCCTTCTTCTTCCCCTGCCCCTCCCCCTACCTAAACTTCACACTAGACAATTCCCACATACTTATCGCCCATACATGGTGCCGGTGAGCAGGTTGTTTGTTTGATTTTTGAGATAGGATCTCACTGCATAGCTCTGGCTGACCTGGACTTTGCTATGTAGTCCAGCCTGGCCTTAAACTCACAGAGATCTGCCTGCCTCTGCTTCCCCAGTGCTGGGATTAATGGTGTGTGCCATGATATCCAACCAAATACATATTTTAATACCCAACTCTCCAAGGCTGACTTTCTCACAACACAAGCAGGAATCTGCAGCATTACTGATATGTGCTGAACTCTGTCACTGCTTTTCACACTGAGTCCTATAGAAATGAATCTCCCCAGGATAGGAAATCCCTACCATCTCCAAGCCACCTTCATCAAGTCCTAACCTTTTGCAGACAATCAAACAAGGCATTCCAGTGAAGGGAGATTTGACTCTGGGAATTCAGAAGGCCATGGGCCATGTCATTGGATAAGTTTTCTGTTTCCAGGACCTCCCCCTCTCCAGCAGGGCAGAGTACAAGACTCTCCTTAACTGTGTGCAGTCTAGCAGGTTGAGACATCCCTCTGATTGTCCCAGGCTCACCTAGGTTCCATCTCTCGGAGCTCAGTCAGCTTCTGAACCCCTTGCTGGCTTCCAGTGTTTTCCACTGACTTCCCCTAGCCTCCAGTAGCTTCTGATCCAGCCCCACCTCCCCCAGCCCTGGTTTAAACCAGCCTTTCACTCATCTACCTACAAGGTTCAAACACTTGCAATCTCCTCAACTCTTAGTCCAGCTACAAATGGGGTGCCAGTCACCTGGTGCTGACTCCAGCCACCTAGGGCAGGCTAGCTGAGCCCTTTTCCAACCCAAGTATTCCATGAAAAGGCACAGCCATGACCTCCAGTCACTTAACAACTCAGGTTCAGCCTGGAAACTCTGTCTCCCCCAGCTGGCACCATAAGGTATAGCAGTTTGTGAACCAGAGGGATCCAAGGGATGCTAGGCTAGAAGTATCTGTTTTACACTAATACTCGTACATCTCTGGTTTTGTATAAGACACACAGTAGATTCCTTTTTCACCTTCACTGCCAAGTGTCACTAGACAGGTCAATTTGGCCCAAATGGATATATATTTGGAATTCACACAAAAACCATGCTTTAAGAATGATTAAATTCTCTTTATTCTAATAGTGACATGTGCAGTCTTCATTGGTTCAGAAAAGCAGTGTGTGGAATAGGAAGAAGGTTGGAAAGCCTCCAAGACTGTGGTTTCCACTGTACCTCATGTGGAGCCCTCACTGAAAGAGATGGTCAGGAGGAGGACAAGTAGGGGGCTGTGCCTTACTTCAGATTCTAACCACAGAGCCGCCACTCCAGCTGGAGTATAAGACAGCTCATTAGGACCCCTGCGACCCTATTTCAGCCCCTCAATCAGCACCACTATTGAATTATACTCTTAAAGTTCCTGCACTGTTGGGTGTTGATTTTGCTTGACTCTGCATATGCAGCTACTCTGTGTTCATTGCAGTGTTCTGACACATATCACTCTCCTGTGGTGCTTTTAGAAGGACCAATTTTCTTCAGTTTTGATTTTCATTTTCTGAAGGTTATTTTGAGGTGTGCTCTGGAGTTTTTTGGTTTAGGTTTTGGTTTTTGAGAGGGAAAAGAGAGAGGGGGAGAGGGAAAGGGAGAGGGAGAGAGAAAGAGAGAGAGATGTTTAGTGGGCAGAGAGAGGGGGAAGAGTTGACAGAGGGAAGAATATGATAAAAATAGATGATATGAGGACGGCACTAGAAGAATCCATCCTGAGTGAGGTAACCCAGTCACAAAAAGAGAAACATGGCATGTACTCTCTCGTATATGCATTTTAGACATGGATCTGGGGAGTGCCAGCCTACAATCCCACAGCCAGAGAGTCTGGGAAACAGAGCCTTCATCCAATGAATGATGGAAGCAGAGGCAGACACCCACAGCTAAACACTGAGCTGAACTCAAGGAGCCCAGTGACAGAGAGGGAGGACTGATTACCAAAGGGGTTAAGACTGAGTTTGTTTAACCCCCAGAAACAGCTGACGTGACAAGGGTTAGCTCTTGAATCACAGACTGATGGCTGGGAATCCAGGATGAGACTGATCAAGACCCCCTGAATGTGGGTGTCAGTGAGGAGACCTAGGCAATCTATGGGGACACTTCCTGAATGTAACACCAGTAGCACAGACACTGAGATCAACAGTTAATAAATGGGACCTCCTGAAACTGAGAGGCTTCTGTAAGGCAAAGGACACAGTCAACAAGACAAAAAGGCAGTGCACAGAGTGGGAAAAAATATTCACCAACTCCACATCTAACAGAGGGTTATCTCCAAATTTAACAAAGAACTTAAGAAGCTAGTCACCAAAACACCAAACAATCTAATAAAAAGTGGAGTACAGAACTAAATAGGGAATTCACAATAGAGGGAATCTAAAATGGCTGAAAGGAACTTAAATTCTTCAATATCCTTAGTCATCAAGGAAATGCAAATCAAAACAACTCTGAGACACCATCTTATACCCATTAAAATGACAAAAATAAAAAACACCAATGATAGTTCATGCTAAAGAGGATGTGGAGAAAGGGGAACACTCTTCCATTGCTGGTGGGAGTGAAAACTTTCACAGCCACTTTGGAAATCAGTATGGTGGCTTCTCAGAAAAATGGGTATCAGTCTACCTCAAGATCCAGCAATTCCATTCTTAGGCATATTCCTAAAAAATGCACATTCATACCATAAAGACATTTGTTCAACTATGTTTATAGCAGCATTGTTTGTAATAGTCAGAATCTGAAAGCAACCTAGATGTCCCTAAACCAAAGAATGGATAAAGAAAATGTGGTATATTTATACAATGGCAGACTACTTGGTAGAAAAAAAACAGTGAAATCTTGAAATTCTCAGACAAATGGTTAGAACTAGAAGAAATCATACTGAGTGAGGTAACCCAGACACAGAAAGAAAAACATGGTATGCACTCACTCATAAGTGGTTATTAGACATAGAGCATAGGATAACCAGCCTACAATTCACAACTCTGGAGAAGCAAGGAAGCAGGGAAGATCCTATATCTAGGTGGTTTCCAGATATCAGGAGTAGAGCAGCAGCAAACTTGGTTGAGCCAGTGTCACTGTGGTAGGGTGGAGCATCTTTTTGGTATATGCCCAGGAGTGATATAGCTGGATCTTGAGCATAGATTTATTCCCATCTTCCCAAGGAACCACCACACTGGTTTTCATAGTGGCTATACATGTTTGCACTCCCACAAACAGTGGATGAGTGTTCCCCTAAATCTGCATTCTCTCCAGCATGAGCTGTCATTTGTTTACTGATCTTAACCATTCTGATGGGTGCAAGATGAAATCTCAGAGTAGTTTGGATTTGCATTTCTCTCAGGACTAAGGATGTTAAACATTTCTTTAAGTGTTTCTCAACCATTTGGCTCCTCTTTTGAAAAAAATTAGTTCTTTATATATTTTGGATATCAACCCTCTATCAGATACGAAGTTGGAAAAACCTTTTCCCATTCTGTAGGCTGCCACTTTGTCCAAACAACAGTGTCATTTGCCATAAAGAAGCATTGCAGTTTCATGAGTTCCAATTTATTGTTGATCTTAGTGCCTGTACTAATGGTGTTCTCTTCAGAAAATCTTTTACTGTGCCAGTGAGGTCAAGGTACTTTCTGTTCTATCGGATTCAGTGTATCTGGTTTCATGTGGAGGTCTTTGATCCACTTGGGGTTGAGTTTTGTGCAGGTAGACAAATATGGATCTATTCGGATTTTTCTACAAGCAACTGACCAGTTTGATTAGCAACACTTGTTGAAGATACTGTCTTTTTTCCAGGGTATATTTCTGTACTCCACTTCAGGACGGATGAGATTCCTGCTACACCCCACTCTTGGCTCCCCCTCTCGCCACTGAGCTCTGCTCAAGTATGAAAAATACCAGGAGAAGCCAGACCAACTAGAGTTGCAGACACTGAAATCTTGGCCCACATATGCCACCAAGAGACCAGTGGAGACAGAGAGACCCAACCTGCACCCACTTGAAGAAGGGATGGGAAGACGGCAGTATAAGAACACACTCAGCAATAGAAAGACCAATATGATTCCACCAGAATATAGAGAATCCACATCAACAAGACCTGAAAAGCACAATGCAGATGAAGCAGAAGAGACAGACCTTAAAATTTTTTATGAAGATAATAGAGACAATCAAAGAGGAAATGAGAAAATCCCTTAAAGAAATAGAAGAAAAAATAAACCAAAAAAATGAAGGAATAAACAAATCTCTTAAAGAATCTAAAGAGAGTCAAAACAAACAAACAAACAAGTGAAGGAAACAACTCAAACAGTTCAAGGCTTGAAAGATGAAATAGAAACAGTAAAGAAATCACAGAATGAGGGGATGCTGGAAATAGAAAAGCTGGGTAAACAGATATAAGTATAACCAATAGAATACAAGAGATGGAAGAAAAAAATCTCAGGTATTGAAGACTCATTAAAGGATATACAGTTATCAGCCAAAGAAAATATCAAGTCCAACAAATCCCTAACACAAAATATCCAGGAAATATGGGACACTGTGAAGATGCCAAACCTAAGAATAATAGGTATAGAAGACAGTGAAGAAATACAATTCAAAAGTACAGAAAACATATTCAACAAACCATAGAAGAAAACTTCCTCAACCTAAAGAAGGATATGCCTATGAAAGTACAAGAAGCTTACAGAACATCAAATAGACTGGATCACAAAAAAGAAGTCCCTTGCTACATAATAATCAAAACACCAAACCTACAGAATGAAGGGAAAATATTAAAAGCAGCAAAAGAAAAAGGCCAAGTAACATATAAAGGCAGACCTATCTGAATTACACCCGACTTCTCAATGGAAACTATGAAGGTCAGAAGGTCCTGGATAGATGTCCTGTAAATGCTAAGAGAACAAGGATGCCAGCCCATACTACTATACCCAGCAAAGCTTTCAATTACTATGTACGGAGAAAGCAATATATTCCATGACAGAACCAGATTTAAATAATGCAGCCCTACAGAAAGTACTGGAAGGAAAACTACAACCCAATGAAGATAGTTACAATCACAAAAACACAGGCAATACATAATCCCACTTTAACAAAGACCAAAAGAAAAAAGGGGAGAGAATCCAACCACAATAACACCACCAACAATAAATCCAAAACAAACAAGAATCAACAATCAGTGGTCATTAATATCTCTCAATATCAATGGTCTCAACTTACCTATAAAAAG